AACGTGACCTTTTTCCCTCGGCATGGCGGTCATTCTCTTCGTCTCTTGATACAGTCTTCACCCAATGGCTGACAGACCGATCACGAGGCCCGATCTGCGATGTTATCAAACTACGCCGAGGGAAACTGGTCTTATTCAGACAACGGGAGCAGTATTGTGTGAAGAGTGAAATTTGGGAATGGTTTAGCACGGACCCACCATTTTGAGTCGTGGATGGGTATTAAAGGCCTTCCTGCGCAGTTCTCGTCGCCACTACCGCGGCTGCGCCTATACCACCTCAGGCTTGCGCAGCCGTATGATTCTGCATAGATTTCGATGTTAAATCCATCCGGCCAGTGCTTTCCCACAACGCGCCGAGCGACCGCATTCTGTCGAAAATGTGATCCGAACTCTACTTCCGCTTCTTCGTCAGGTTCTGAAGCTTTGCGTTGACGTCCAACATATCCCACCGATAGGGGTCGAGTCCTTCCGCGTCCCCATTGGCACAGTACGTCTTGTACCAGTTCTTCCTGCCGTCTTTGGCCCGAGATCCTTTCTTTGCGAAGATTTGCTTGAGGTCTTCCCAGCCCGGTTCGCCACCGCAATCTTCCGCGCAGGGATGACCCTGAGGAAAAGGGTCAGAAGACAGTTCATGCATATTTTGTGGCAAATCGGCTCGGTCTCACCTCACCCGCGAAGCACAGGGCACTATCATATTCCGCTTCCAGCATCATCGCCTTTCGAAAGCCAGGATCCTCGATCCCCACCAGCGTGATGACGTGTTCCCAACCGTCTCCGTGGTCATATTCGTAGAGCAAATTGGTGAAGCGATACTGCTCCTCTTCGAAGACATCGGACAAGGTCCACTTGGAAGCGGCCTGATAGGTGGAGGCCGACTCCGGGAAGGTGTCCTTCAGCATCTCAGGGTCGGTCTGAAAGACCATGAGTGGCACGAAGCCGTTCTAGCATTTCAGGACGCGGTCAGCACGGTCGACACTCCACCTCCTCAACGGGCGCAAGAGCATACCGTTTTCATCCCCTCACGCTCTTCTTCCTCACCGTAGTAGAGCCTTCTTAGTTCAAAGCTCCAGGTATGGCAATTGGCCCACCCAAACGCATCCTGCATCACGCCGTGCATGTCCTCGAAGGTGAAGCTGGAGGGGACGGACAACAGTCTCGTGATGGTGGGATTACTGCTGCACACCATGCTGCAGTGGAAGATGTAATTCGGCGATGCCGACTCCCCTCTCATCGTGGGTGCCTTCGACCCCGCCGTCGTCTTGGCCGTCGTGGCGTCCTCCTTTGACAAGAACGAGGCCGACTTCGCCGATCCATGTGGGCTGACCTCGTGTTCGCGCCTTGCCGTGGTCTTGTCTTTCGGCATGGTCGCTTTGGGGATGTGCTCGATGGCTCGATGATGGTGGCACTCCAAGATAAAAGGGCTCGACAGGATCACAGCGGCGTGGTTTTCCAATTTAGGATCGAGACATCGAGTTCGCGGGCTCAGCGCCACAAATGAGAAGTGGTCCAGCGCGCCCAAGGGTGTACGGGACTTATAGTTACAGTACACGGTTGGCTCGAGGGCGCCGGTTCGACGGCAAAGAGAGGGCTGACATCGCACCATCGATATACTTCGCTCAGCGAGCCACAACTGAGAACGGATGAGCGCGCGAACCATCCATTCCTCGATGACCCACGGAATGCCGAACTGCCTGAGGACCATCGTGATTGGTGGTAGCCACGGATGGCGAAAGGTCCCGATGGGCACTCCAGCATTTCCACGGTGATCTTCATCAGCGTCCATTGGTTCCACCTTCGCCGTACGCAGGAGTCTGTGCTGACTAGGGTGGAACGCAGCTGAGTGCGTTGCATACCGAACAACAGAGAGTCAATCCTGTAGAATGTAAGGATAAGTCCGATTGGTCTCCACGAAGGTGTACCGTACTTTTTGTGGACATGGCCTCAGCACGACATCGCGGCATGCAAAGTTGAGAACGGACTCCACATCGTAAACAGAAAGCGGGTACTTTGGACGATTGGCTCATTGCTGGGGTTCGAGATGAGGCCGTTACCCCGGTCAAACTGAGAGTCAGGAGGCACAAAAACCTGCCTGATTTGACGCTCAATAAGCCCTGAGTGCCTTGAGAATAGGGCCCTATCTGAGGGCCTATCTGCGTGCCAATCTGCAGTTGCGACTGTGCCTGCGAATAGGCTAGAAATGGCGGTAGAGATAGGTTGGCAGCAGGACTAGGCGCAGATGCTGTAGGAGATTGCCGGTCTGCCATGTCTTCTGTCATAATTGCTGTAGCGAGGTCCTCCGCCGCAATGCCCTGTTCGTGTTGTTCCTCTTGTTCCTGCGCGATCTCTCTATCGCGATCGTTTTGTGCCATTGTCGCGCGCCGATCGATCGTCTCGCGCCGTCGAAGGGCGATCACGTTGATGCGTGTATAGAGGAGTCTATTCGCCGATTCATCGCCCCGCCTGGTGGGTGGGTAACAACGATATGAGGTGACGAGTACTGGTTCTCCTGTGCCGGCGTCTGACCTCCCATTTATCCCCCCCATGCCCGTCACATATGTGGGTGATATTACGTCCAAGTCTTCACCTCATGTGCTGAGTGTCCAATGGCTTCAATTTGTCGGTGTACATCGTATGCAGCACACTGCTCTATACTGTATCTGCGTTTCCCTGTTTCGTAAATTGTGGGATCTACACACACTCTGGAGTGCTGACACTCCATGTCGACCTATACACCTTTACAGGCGATGGGATTGTGCTATTTTTCTTCAGTAGTTCCGAATTTTCTCTCATATAATAACAAATACAATGTCTCGACAGAGGGCACGAGTCTTTCTACTCTCACGTAGCAAAGTTAGGTTTGTCTGATACTGTACCTTTTATCGCTCGATATTGGCCACCCTCAAATCACGGAGCGTTTGTGTTGACCTCCACTATTTGCATCATCATGATCTCGCTTTTGGCTTCATGGCTTCTCGCAGCCGGGATATCTAGTACCACGCTGAGAAGTCTTGCGTCTACCATATCTATGGGCCCCAATCCTGAGTACACGATTATCGATACCGAGGTCAAAAGCAAGGGTACTGCCTATCATCCCGAACGACTGCGAGGCAGGGCCACCGGCGGCGTAAGTCTCGCACCTAATAGATGATACATTCGCAAGCTATACTGTATCTCTGACTGGAACGCGAAAAGATTTATAGGTGCACGGGAACACACTGGACCGGGGATTGTTACTGGACGGGTATTAACTTTAGCATGTACGACACCTGTCTCAATATGAATTCTGGGTTTGCATCTCTAGGCCCCGATGTGGACATCAAGATCGATCTCTTTCGGTAAGACGGAGAATGACCCAGCCAGATCCTCCGGCCCTTCTCCCGGTCTCGAATACTTTGTGTTTGCTCTGTGCCCCCCTCGTATGCGGTTCTGTTTGGTTACTAACTCGACCGGCCTTTTTCAACAGGGATTCCCAATGCCAAGACGCGTTCTGGAGGCGAATGTAGAACCCTGGCGAGCCTGATGTTCCGTCTCGACTTGCAAAGGCTGGTATTGAGCTGGTAGAAGGGCCTCTGATTGGCTTGTGGGTCACTTCAATATCTGAACCGGACCAGTGCCAGCCGGGACCCACGAACGAGACAATGGGGCTTTGTAGTCTCGTGTCGGGAGTGTCTTATGTGTCTGCCACCACAGCAGCTTGACGGTAGATGCAGCGTGGTATGCAACCTTGCCCAGCCTAAATTTCTCGTCTCTTGCGTCCGCGGGCCGAAGCTCTTGAGGGTTTGCACGACCGAGCGTAGGATGAAAAAGTTAGAATGTTCAAGTTAGGCCAGAGCATTTTCATATTCAACGTCGTCATACTCCAAATATGAGACATTATCGGCCGCATCAAGATTTCTTTCCTTTCCTTCTAGTACCAGTCATTTCTTCCCTTACATGCCTCTTCTTCATCACCATACACCGTTCATAAGGTACACAATAGGGAAGTAGACTCCAATAAGTGGTTCGGCAAAAACTGTACAAAGCCGGACAAGGTATGGCCTCGATTAGACAACTTTAACGATCGCATCAAGAAGATATATCCAACGGAGAGTAAGGACACTCTACCCCAAAAGTGAGTTAGTGTGAAAGGCCTCGAAACACAGCTCATGCCGAGACAGGTCCAATAACTGGTATGAGTTGTCGTCTTGACTCCAAACTGGAGCACGATACTCTGTGTCAACGGAAGCGCGTGAGGCTTACAGAGACGTGGTAGATCTCGAGCTATGTTGAGCAATCAAAGACAGAAGTCATATAGTTATCACTAAAGTGGTTTTGTCACTAGGATTCCCGATTAAGGATCACCAAGGAGGTGAAGTTTAGAGACTGTCACGTCGACATCGCAATTTGCTACGGACATCAGGTATGGTGTTAGAACGCTGAGAATGGGCCTTTGAGTCTTTCATTCAATTCGCGTACTGTATGCTCTCTTGTGGCTCTGAAAGATGGATATTGTCTGCCGGAGTGTTTTACTAGCTTATAAAAGACACGTTGCCATACCTAGGAGCCGAAAGCTTAAAAGTCTCGAGCGAGTGGAATTTTCGAAAAACCAGAAACTTAATGAAAATTTCGGACACAAAGCGTATCGATTGAAAACGCTGAACGCGTTTAGTTTCTCCCTATAACGACTTTTGGATCGCTTCCTAAAGGGGATAGGTTATGGTCAAAGCCAAGGATAGTCCCCTCTACCTAGGTTTTCCGGCAAAGAAATAAAGGAAAAGGTGTGCTTTTGGAAGTCAGAAGCCTCCCTACCAAAGTACCTAGGGAATTGAATGGTAGAGTTCTCAGTTGCAACAAATCAGGGCGTAGGAAAAGAGAAAAAACCCCTCTAGGGAGAAAAAAGAGAAAAATACGGGTAACAAAGAGTGGAGTTTTACTCACTTCTTTGTAGGCGGGCAATATGTAGCCTGACAGCATAAAAGGGAGCCGTTTGCCCTTTATAGGTCTAAAGGAGCATCAAATTCTTCATTCTGGCCCCAATATTCTCCTTTATCCACCCTAATGTCCGTTCATCGGCACCTAAGGAAATGGACGATTTACTAGGGGCTTCTGAGATTGGTGATGTGACAGGAGTGCGACAGCTCCTCAAGGAAGGCACTGATATAGACTTGCGGACCTGGCTACTGTTAGCTTCTCGCTGCGGCCGCGCAGAAGTGGTCAGGCTACTGCTCGCACGATGCGCAGTAGTGGACCCGACGGACGAAGGTAACCGAACACCGCTGTCATGGGCGTCACAGGGGGGTCATGAGGCTGTGGTTGAGATCCTACTCAAGGCCGGTGCCAAAGTCGACTCACAGGATAATAACGACCGGACACCGCTCTTCTACGCTGCGATGCACGGCCGTAATGAAGTGGTTGATATCCTACTCCCGGGGCCAAAATTAACTCACAAGATGACAACGGCCAGACGCCGCTATCGCAGACGTCAAGGATGGGTTATAGACCTATGGTCAAGATCCTACTCAATGCCGGTGCTGAAGCCAACTTACAGGATAAGAACGACCGGACACCGCTATTCCGCGCTGCGATGCACGGTCGCAAGGGAGTGGTGGAGGAGCTCATTAAGGCTCGTGCCGGAGTCAACTCACTAGACGTTGAGGACCGGACGCCGCTGTGGTGGGCTTCAGCCTTTGGTTATACATATACAGTCCAGATCCTGCTCGGGGCCGGTGCTAGAGTCGACTCACGGAATAAGTATGGCGAGACACCGCTGTTGGCGGCTTCCATGTCGGGGTAATATGCGGAGGTGGTCAAGGTCCTACTCCGGGCGGTGCTAAAGTCAACTCACAGGATAATAAAGGTCGGACACCGTCATGGTGGGCTTCACAGGGTAATTATATCCACCCGGTATCTACTATCAAAGCTTCTTCGACCGAAGGGTTATGGGGATGTGGCCCCGATCCTACTCGGGGCCGGTGCCAAAGTCGACATTACGGAATAATTATGCCCGGACGCCGCTCTGACGATGTCCCAGTACCCCTAGTCCTGGCAGGCGCAATGGTGGCCACAGCATAGTTTCGCTACTCCTCCAGTCCGCTACAGGCATGGATGTAAAGAACAGGCATAGGACGCCACTATCGCCACAGTCTTCACACCGCGACCGAGAAGGAATGTTGAAGTCTCTAGGCAAGACAGACTAACCTCTACCCCTAGGTAACGAAACACCCTATTGGCCAAAACACATGGGCAGGTACATGCCATTCCTAAGGACTCAGTTCACCACAACACAATGGGCTGGATAGTTCTGTCTCCAGTCGAGTGCTTCTTCACCATTGGGAAGTACAACGTGGTGGGGGAGTAGGCTGCCCTAGTTAGGCTCGACAGGCGATCATGTAACCCCCGGTTGTGGCGCTAATCGCGGCCTATCATGGGGTTCTAGTCATGCAAGGGCCCAATCTCGAGATTCGGGCTTTTGAAGGGCCTGTCTACGATTTCAAACATCTAAGACAGTTTCATATCGCCCTCATAGTACATTTCTCTCACCTTTTGATAGCATTGAAAAGTACCTCTGCACACTTAGTGGTAATGTATATACCGAGTGCCATTTATAATAACCACCGCGCCCGATTTAGTAACGTACATAATGGTAGGGTTTAGAAGATATCCCAGCTTCTCAATCGAGTGATGGCCTAAAAGAGGTTGAAAGTTGACTTATAGACATCAGAAAGGACTACAAGATCCCTCAACACCAATCCAAGACAAAGAAAGTAGCCGGTGCATTTTGACGTCTTCTTCTCCCCAGCTTAAGGACCCTGGTTGGGCTCTTTTCACTCTAATTTACTGGCAAAGAGAGGGAAACACACGCCGTAAGGTATCTCCAGCCGTCTCCCTCGATTTTCCTCTTGAGATTTGACTCTCCCATAGCACTGAAGTTTGTGCCGTGCTGGGAAATCGAAAGAATCGATACAGCGGCATGTTTTCATCTTCTATAATGCCGAGATATTTGAGCTTTAGAAAGCCCTGACAAGGTTCGAGACAGCCTAAAAGACCTCGGCTAAAGCCTATATAGAGCTCCTCTAGAGGTTGCTCAGCGAATCTGTAGAAGAAGCCCCCCATGCGGATATAGGCATTAACAATATAGAGGGTCCGAAGCCTCGAAGCGGAGCCTTTCAGGAGATAGGTTGGGTCGTTCCAGAGCCCATCGGCATCGTCAACATTTGCTGGGTCAAAATGAGTGATGTATTCGACATGGGCGTAGAGTAGACTTGGGAATCTCTCCAGCTGAATGCTACATGGCATCTCTCGGGATATTGAGCGCGGCCGGCTGATCATCAGTCTGAGCTGCTCTAGCTGTGATAGCTCAGGTAAGGTCGTTTGAGTGTCACCGCTCCAGCAGAGATAACGTAGATTGCTCATCGTGTGCACCAGGTTGGGCGGAATATCCACGAGGTCGGCGCTTCGTATCCGCCGCAGTGTCTCGCTCTGGGCTTTGGCTAGAAAGGTTTTCCCTCCCCGCCGTAGACTGGCGATGATCAGCTATCAGACCCTCGTGATGAAGGTCCATGCCCCCCTCTTACCTCAAGGAGCTGAGTTCCGGTGATTGAGCCAATGCGAGAACTAATTTGTCAACACCCTCAATATATCGCTCATCATCAGAGTCTTCGCTAAGTTCGAGAGCGTAAATAGGTGGAAGATTTCCCATCTTTTCGAACTTCCCAAGAAAGTGGGAGCGTATGTCGCGCATATGGACATTGAAGGACGCACGCGGTGAAATCAAGTTCCAGAAACGCCGACAGGTGAGGCGGAGAGCTGCGCGCGATTCGTAAGGACCCTCGCCGAACCTACGGGCACTTAGAGTCCCCGACATCTCTGTGACTTGCTTTAGGATCAGAAGCAAGATTTCGTCGGCCATTGCTAGGATGGGACATACGTCGCCAACTAGCTTCTCTAGCTGTTGCCGGGATGTCTCTTGGAACAGGGAACGGCAGATACGCTCGAGCTGGCGTGATGCCGCTTCCTCACCAGTTACGAGAGTGACCGCGAAGCTTCCCGAAAGGGAGTAACCGCAACCCTTAACGGAGAAGACTCGAACGCATTGACCGTGGTCGTCGAAGGCGTCTTCGGTGGACGGAGCATTGCCCAGTATCTCGTCGCCATCGTAGGCAGCGCTCACGTATATTGAGTCGCCAGCGCAGCTGGCTAGAACCGGCAATATTTGATGTCGGCTAACGTCGGCCGGTGGTACCGCCGCCGCCCGCCCTGTAAATACGTCGTAGACCCAGTGCACGTAAGCTGGAGGATGGTCCCAACTCCTTAGAAACAAAATCGTGCCGCGATACGTGACCATCCGTACGCTAATCACGTCGCTCAGTGAGTTACAACGACGTTTACACAAATCGGATCTTTTCTCATCGTCGTCCGAGAACGAAAATCCGGAGAAGGGATGGTTCCAGTAACGGTTTAGTGTGTCTCCCTCTTCCCAAGGACTGATCATGATATAGAGCTTCTGTTGTCTCGGATCGTGTGCGACCACCAGAAGCCACCGGCGGCAGTGACGCTCGACGACGCGAACAATCTGGATGGATGCCTCTCGAGGAAAGAGTGGGAGGGTGACCCGCGCTACCTCCCTCCCCGAAGTCTCATTCTGAAATGATGGCTTGACGGTGAAGAGGGTCTCTCCACTGCCCGCGATCAGGTAGTCATCTACGATATCCACGTAGGCGATCTCGTTCCCTCGACAGAGGGATAACCTGGGCCCCCACACTGAATCTTGCGCCGCCGTAGACTGCATCTGGGTGATAGCTCGCTCCCACTTCAGAGTCAGAATTTCACCTCCGGAGGTCCCCATATAGGCGATGCCACGGTCTAGCGCTACACAGGTTATACGTCCGCCATTGAGTGAGGATCCTTCGAGAAGAAGCGGAGAATCGGGTTTCTGGGCCTGCCAACAGCGAATGTCGTAGTTGTCGTGAATGGACGCCGTATTCCCCGCTCTACCGATGATCAGCCTGACGGAGGCCCTCGCCAACATATTGCCTGAGGAGTATACCTATCTATAGCTACTTTGGTGACTGGAGCTGGGGCGACCTCCCTGTCGCTATACACCATGAACTCTCCCGGCACCATCTCGTCTGTCTATGTCCCCTGGATTTTGTCCTGCCGTTACGCTCTTGATCGGTTGGTGCGAGGAATACCGAGACACGAGGTCCCACGTGAAAAAAAGGTCAGGCTTCTGGGACAAGGGGGGAGGGACCGACACAATCGCGGTGGGACACGCCGAAAATGTAATTATGAGTTAAAAAATAAAGAGGCTGATTTTCTAAACGGGAAGAGGGAGGTGACTATATGTCCATTATAAGAACTTAGAAGCGGAGGATACGCTCTTACGGGAGGGGATGCTGGTAGTTCCAAATGGTCACAAATCATAAGATAGTTAAAGGAGAAAAAAGTCGACAATAGGGAGTTAATATTTTGTGGATTGGCATTCTCTGGTTTTCGTGGAGTCTGAACGTGGATCTTTAGTTTCTCGGGGTGGCTAATAAATGTAACTCTTCCAAGGCTCTCCAGGAAAGCGTTTTCCCCTGTCCGTAATGGGACGATTCTAGTATAGTAACCTACTGTACTGTACATAAAAACGATAGATAACCGCAGCTTCGAATTGTCGAACATCTTTCCAGTGTGCCTAACGAGGCGATTAGCCGAGATTGAGAAACGACTGGGCTGATGGTCCTGATTCGCAGAAAATTTCATACACTCCCACTCATATATTCGAAACGCCCCTCTCCCCTGGTTTTTTCTTTAGGTGACCTCTTCTCGACTCACTGACACGTGGTCCCTAGTGCCGGCCCATCCATCTTCTACACGTAGGGCGGAGATGTGTTCTTCGACTACGGTTCGGGAAATCCACAGAATGTGATTGAGTGTAAAATGATGTCGGCTGACGAATAGTAGGATAATGCCATAATTTTTGGAAGTGCTGAAGAGAAAATTGAGCTGCACTTTTCAATGGTGGTAACATCATCGCGTCCGAACACTCTCGGTATTGACGTCCAACGCTCGCCGATGCTGAAACGCAGCGTCGAAAAAAGATAATCACATAGGGACTGTGACCAGGCTACCCTTGTCCGTCTTCTCTCCACTATCTCATTTTCCGCTTTTCTTTAAGTCACTCCTTTTATTTCCTCCTGTTGAGTCTCACTCGAAATTATACTATTATCTCTTCTTCTTAGAGTTCCTCTTCTTTCTATTCTTTTCCCATGGCGATCCTCATATTTCTTTCTTCTTCTTCTACATACTATCATCCTTGAAAACTTCTCAATGTAGATTTTGAGGAAACCTACATACCTAGTACGACTCAAGTCTACTATCTCGTCCTATCAGCAACTGACAAAGCCGCAGTTCCTTTTGAGCTACCTCCCCCCATCTTTCGTTTACGGTACTGCGACGTATCGACCTCTGTCTGCGAGCATCAACTAGCTTCATTCGGTCAGAGCCGGCGTTTTGATCCGCTTGACGATGGCCAGGGTGCGGATGGACACCCCGCACACTCTGGCACCACCGGCTCCAGTCCACCTGCGACGGTTCCGTATTGAATGTAAGCCGCCCATTGCCCGAAGCCTACGGACGCCTTTCGGTTGAGCGAGTACACCTTCAAACCTAGAGTCGGAAGTGGAGATGGAAGTGGGAGCTCGAGGCCAACTCCCCGGGCCCGGTAAAGAGAGTGGAGGGAAAAAAATATGGATTCACTGGATGCTGAAACTAAAAACGTGGCCCACTGGAAACCATCGACATACGACTGGAAAGGCATGACTTCCCTGAATGGGACCTTGTGCCTCGCCGCCTTGGCCACCTAGCACGGCTACAAGTGGATCAGTCGTGGCACAGACGTTCCCCGGACCCAATCTCGGGGGTGGTTGGGGGGGAACCTTCCCGGCGACGCTGTTGTGGACGGTGATTACTCACTACGCGCGCCATATCCTATCCTCGGCATCCGCCCTAGGTCCAAAACTGCACGACCTACACGCCCCGCTTCTGTACCATAGACCTTCTTCTCATCCAGCGGATCGTCCTGACGAGAACCTTAAACGATGGTGTGACCTTTTTAAAAGCTTTCATACGCACCTTCAATACAATCCCATTCGAGACTAAGTAAGCTTCTCTAGGGCTACCGTACGCATCACCGGATGCCCGGAAGGTGGAGTCGCCGGTCGCTCACGATCGAAGACAGAAGACGGTGGAACTCTCGCTCAAATTATGGCGCCGGTCTCAAGGCCCAAGATGAAGGGTGGTCAGGGATTAGCGTCTGGATTGACACACAACGATATGGTGGTAACGTCGTTTCTCCCCCTCCAATGCTCAGCGCGGAATAACTCGCTAGGGTCCCCACTTACTATCCTCTTCCATAACATCAAGAGATAGCGACCCGTAGACTTATGTAGGTGTTGCCGACCTTGGTACAGTACAGCTCTGTTGCGCGCCCAACTACGAATCCCCGTCCCTTGTAACCGCGAAGTAACGAGCTGACCTAGGAGCATCGATGAGCCAGGCTCAGGGTACTTCTTCTCCTGCGTGTCACGCGAACAGCCCCGTCTTCCGCAGACAACACAAGCGGCGTGCCTTCTGCCGTAAAGGGGGGTACCTCTTAGCCTTGTAGTTAGCATGAACTCGCTGACTATGCGTGCGAGTAGTAATGCTCCAATGATAAGGTCCGCGTTCTCCCAGGAGCTGAACCACGTCGACGGGGCTAGAACCACAGATGCCTGCCCATTGACGAGTTTAAGTTGTGGCAAAGCGAAAGGCAAAATTTCGTGCTTTGCAGCCCAGACCCCCCGTCAAGGCCAAGCTGCGAGATGGGCCGGCCCAGCGGAGATTTAGGCTTGACCAAAATATCAGACATCTGCTCCGTGGCGGTCGAGACTCGACAAAGGCTAACCTAATCTAGTGTTTCCAGATCGAAAAGTAGAGTGGGCAAAATTGAAGTAGGAAGGAGTAGCTCTCCTCAGGAAGTGGAGTTTCCGGTCTACAGAGGGAAGGGGGATTTCAGTAATTGAGCAAGAAAAAGAATGTCTGAAGCGTAGAGTACCGTACCTAGGTACAGCTTTAAACTGATTTGGCGGTGGCGTGGGGTTATTCAGCCCGGGGGCGGCTCGATTCTCGCCACTGGGCTTGTCCGCCCATCAGAGGTATAACAGGCGCCATCCGTTCGGATGGAAGCCGGCCGGGATCTGGCTAATCCCCTCAGCTGAGCTAGGGTTTGGCCCGGTGCTGGGGAAGTAACTCCTCCGTACAGAAGCGATAAATCAGGATCCTTAGCATACTCTGTGCTTGGCACATATGACGAGCTCAGCATGCGTTCCCCAGGTTTCCCACCACTCCATCACGCTCGTACTTGAGGCGATAAATAGGTACTCGATCCAGGAGGTGCTCATTTCGCACTCCTACACCCGCAGCTTTCAGTTCCACCCTCGCCCCCTTGACCACTACGCCGCCATCCTCGCACCCGCCTCTTCCTTACCGGACCATCAGTCTCGATGTGATCCCAACTCGGGATCTGACCTATACATTGCCGCCTGCGCACTCGACCTACCCCCCTCTCTCCGGCGGCGATAAATAATTGCGTTGTCCCGCGATCTGGCCACCTCTATCCTCCTCTACCTAGGCCGTCCTCCTGCGTGTGAGCACCGTCATCTCCTCCCCTAGCGTTGTCCGGCCATCGGTTCATCACCACCTCACTCGATGTGCGAGCCCGCAAGATATCCGAGGCGGTCCAACTATATTGTCCGCCAATCCACCTCTCTTTGGCAGCCATCGCCCAAGCAATGGACGCCCATTCGAGCTTCGTCTTTCTGATTGACAACCTTCCCACCTGGCGGGCCAGCATTGAAGCATTATCTGCCCATGCTGC